ACGGGCAGCGAGGGGGCCACGAAGGGTTCGTTGTTTAGTGGGCTCTAGGTGGTCTGTGCGGGGACTTTTGCGCGGGAAGCACTGCGTGCTGTCCCCACGAGGCGTTTCAGGAAGAGGCCTCGCCTGCCAGGGCCGAAGGAGTGGACACCTCTTCCCCGGCGGAAGGCTTGGGCGGGGAGGGGGGAGCGAATCGAGGGCGCGGGGGTGGGGCATGGAGGAGAAGGGGGGCTCCTCCTGCCACCTCCCACTTTCCACCTCCCGCCTCCCTCCCTACCTCCCTCCCTCCCTCCTTCCCTCCCTCCCTCCTTCCCTCCCTCCCTCCCTCCTCCTCCTCCTCCTCCTCCTCCTCCTCCTCCTTCTTCCTCCCTCACTGCGACACCAGCTCCCGTAGCCCATAGGTCAAGTCCCTCCTCCTCCTTCTCCTCCTCGTTCTCCTCCTCTTCCTCCTCCTCCTCGCTCCGTCTCAGCCCCTCTCCTCCCTCTTCCTCGGTCCTCCTCCTCCTCCTTCTCCTCCTCCGCCTCCTCCTCGCTCCTCCTCATCCTTCTCATCCCTCCTCCAGCCTCCTCCTTTCCTCCTTTCCTCCTCCTCCTCCTCCTCCTCCTCCTCCTCCTCCTCCTCCTCCTCCACCCTCCTCTCCGTGCCCCAGGGCCCTCAGGTCCGAGGAGGGCCCTGGGGCGGGCCGCGCGGGCAGCGTGGGTCTGTGAAGCACCGGGGAGAAGCGCACCAGCTTTCGCGCACGTGTCAGCATTAGCGGTGGCCATCTGTTCCCACCAGGTGGTCCTGCCTTGGTCCGCGTCGACTGACGTCGCACGGGCCAGGGTCTATGGGCTTCAAAGTCGCACTCCTGAAAACTGCTCCATGGAGGGGAGCACCAGTGGCTTCTGGGGGCTCCCGGAGACGAACCCGAACCAAAGCCACTTTGAAGAGCCCGTAAGGGGGCAGCACGGCCCAAGTGCAGGTGCAACGGCGGCATGCAAGGGAGGGGGGGAGGAGGAAGGTAGGGAGGGAGGAGGGAGGAAATGAGGGTGGTCGAGGAGGAGGAGGAGGAGGAGGAGGAGGAAGTGGAGGAGGAGTAGGACGAGGAGGAGGGATGAAGAGGAGAAAGAGGAGAAAGAGGAGGAGAAGGAGCGCACGTCACCATAGAGGAGGAGAAGGAGGAGGATGATGATGAGGAGGAGGAGGAGGGGACGGGGTGGGCGGTGATGGTGCGGGGGTGGGGGGGAGATGGGAAGCGCGCGTTGCTCTGGCCTGGGATGCCCCCCAGAGGCGTTCTGAAGTCTGGGGTCATGGGCTCCTCAAGTGCACTGTCGAGTCGCCCCCGTGTTCGGGGGCAGTGGCAACATGTTGGTCTTCGGCGCGCAGCGTACTGCACAGACGTTAAGCCAGGCCAGGTGCTGCGGGCACGGCGCAAAGGTGTGCCCGCTAGCGCAGGCACAAAGTCCCAGTTGGGTTGCAGAAAGAATGGGCGTCGCCCCCATGATCGTGCGACCCCCAGAGACCTGGTGCTCAATCTCCCTGGTCCTCTCTCTGTCCAGCCAGGACAGGGAGACCGTGATCCAGGCGGCCGCCGTCAGGCGACCGAGCCTCAGTGACTCCGCGCTGGCACTCGGCTGCGGGGTTTGCTCCGTCGGAAACTGTGCTGCAGTCCTTCGTCTTGCTCGAGAAGTGGCCAGCCGCATGTCCAGGCGCTTAGAGAGGAGATAGCCCGTCGCGGCGGGTCGGGAGCAGACTCCGACCCCGAGTCCGGCGGAGACGGTCTCTTCTGATGTCACCTGCGTTGAGCGCGGTCCACAACAATAACAACAACAACCTCCTCCTCCTCCTCTTCCTCCTCCTCCCTCCTCCTCCTCCTCCCGTCCTCCGCCGTCCTCCTCTGCCTCTTCCTCCTCCTCCTCCTCCTCCTCCTCCTCCTCCTCCCTTCCATCCTTTCCCTCCGTTCCTTCCTCCCACCCTCCCTCTGCTCCTCCTCCTCCTCTCCTCCTCCTACTCCTCCTCCTCCTCCTCCTCCTCCTCCCCCTCCTCCTCCTCCCCTCCTCCGCCTTCTCCTCCTCCTCCTCCTCCTCCCCTCCTCCGCCTTCTCCTCCTCCTCCTCCTCTTCCTCTCCTCCCTCCTCCTCCTTCTCCTCCTCCTCCTCCTCCCCGTTCTCCTCCTCCTCCTCCTCCTCCTCCTCCTCCTCCTCCTCCTCCTCCTCCGCCTCTCCTCCTCCTCCTCCTCCTGTTTCCTGTTTCCTGTTTCCTGGTGTCCTGCGGGATCCACGATCGCGGCCACTCCTCCTCTTCTTCCTCCTCCTCCTCCTCCTCCTCCTCCTCCTCCTCCTCCTCACCTCCTCTTCCTCTTTCTCTTTCTCTTCCTCCTCCTCCTCCTCCTCCGCCCTCCTCGACCGTCTCCTCGTCGCCCTCCCTCCCCCCCCTTCCTCCCTCCTTCTCCTCCTATTCTGCGGAAAGGGGGGCGGAAAAGCCTCCGACAGCGGCACCAGGATGCGCCCCACTGGCCCCGTGCCTTAGCGGGCGCGCGGCCCGCTGGGGGCGGCGAGCTCGGAGGGGGGGGACTTAGCCGCGGCGGAGAGGACGGGCAGGAACGGCCGACGGGACGGGGAAGAGGAGGAGGACGAGGAGGACGAGGAGGAGGAGGAAGAGGAGGAGGAGGAGGACTAGGAGGAGGAAGAGGCGGAGGAGGAGGAGGAGGAGGAGGAGGAGGAGGAGAAGGAGGAGGAGGAGGAGGAGGAGGGGGAGGAGAAGGAGGAGGAGGAGGACGACGAGGATAAGGAGAAAGATGATGATGATGAGGAGGAGGAGGCGGAGCAGGAGAAGGAGGAGGAGAAGGAGGAGGAGGAGGTGCCCATTTTCTGGATCTGGGCATCTAGTGGCCTCCGGAGGCCTCTTGGGAGCGAGGGAAGGCACGAGGAGGGAGGCAGATGTGATTGAGGTCGATTCGATAGCATGTCGATCGTCCTTCCGCCGAGCTTCCGCCTCGTTCTCTGCCCTGGCTGTTGCTGCTCTCATCCTGTCTCCCGTTGCCCGTCTCGGCCCAAACAATGTTAGGGCCCTTGGCCTAAGAGCTACGCAGATCGCTCCAGCCGCGCTCGCTTTCGACAAAAACCATCGGTGCTGCGCACCACTCCATATCACAGTGGTAGTTGGGAGCGTGCGAGCCCCGGTGACATCACGCTGCTGCTCGTCGTGCTGCGCACGACGCACTCCATATTCAAGACGACGACGGCCGCACCCTCGTCCAAAGAATCGACGCTCAGCGGCGTCGTGCTGCTCATTGCAGCCTTCCTCGCCTTCCTCACCCACCTCCCGGACGTCAGCGACGCCCAGCCCGACGCCTTTCTCGCCTACTTCCCGGACGTCAGCGACGCCCAGCCCGACGCCTTCATCGTCTACCTCCCGGACGTCAGCGACGCCCAGCCCGACGTCTACACTCACAAACTCAGCGAGGCCGCCGAGTTCAAATTCCCGCTCTCCCAGGACTTCAACTAAGCCCTCCTGTTCAGTTTCCCGTTCTCCCAGGACTTCAGCGACGCCATCCCGGTCGATTTCACGCTCTCCCAGGACTTCAGCGAAGCCTACAAGTTCAATTTCCCGTCCTTTCAGGACCTCAACGAAGCCCTCGAGCCTAATTTCACAAGCAACCAGAACGCCAAGTACACAGTGGCAGCGGCGGGTCAGAACAACACCTTTCGGCCCCTCGATCGTTCTCGCGTGGCACGCCGACCGGCGCCAAGTGGAAAGACTACAGGGCAGGAGGTGAAGCTGTGGAAGCTCAGCGACCACCTGGAGGGCACCCGGGGAGCCTCGTGCCCAAGCACGTGCCCAAGCCGACAGCGGCGGCGCGGGCGGCGGCGGCGGCGCTCCACGTGGCGGAGGCGGGCCGGCACCCGCCTGCTGCGGCGGGCATCGAGGAATCGACGATGCGGGCGAGCAGAAGCGCAACCGGAGCCGGGCTGGCATTGAGAACGCACTCGAGCATCTGGAGGCGGATCTAGGTCAGCAGAGGCCGGTGCAGAAGGGCGAGGCTCTCGAGAAGTTCTCGGAGTCGACTCATCGCCACCGCCGGCGCGGTGGAGGCGCGACAGACTGACTCATGCGGTTCGAGACCGGTCTCCAACAGCTGCGCGAGAACGAGGTGGACCTCAACGCGCTGGGCGACGTAGCTGGATGGTTTCTACTACGCAAGGCGGGATGGATTCCAACGCGTCAGAGGCCTGCTGGTGCGGATGCTTCCGGACATCCACAAGGCGCCGTCGCCGCCGCGGCCGTGGAACAACCAGTCGCGCCCAGCTGGCGGCTGGAAACCATCCTCCTCGCATCGAGGATGGCGCTCTACCGACGTCGTCGATGAGCCGGAGGACGACGACGAGGAGCAGGGCGACGGGGGGCGACGGCGAGACCGAGGCCGACGCGCAGGACATGGTTCGCCAGGAGCTCGAGGCGCTCAGTGCCGAGCTCGGGTCCTCCAACGTGGACGTCTCCGAGGAGCTCGACGGCGGCGGCTCCGCCGAGGTCGAGGCAGCCGCGGCGGAGCTCGCCGCGACTCCCGAGGCCATGGCCGCCATCAGATCGGCCCGGGAGGCCCTCGAGGGCCGCGGCAAGTCGAGCAGCGAGCCGACTGGGGCACGTCGCCCCGGCAAGCCCCAGAGCCGCGCCGACCAGCGCAAGAAGACGCCCATGTGCTGGGGCTGCTGCGAGACGGGGCCCTGGACTGGAGACAGTGAGCGTCCTGCGCCCGGCGCGCGCAAGTTCGCGCCAGAGGACAAGCAGAGGGGCGGTCGCGGGGGAGGCCGAGGTGGTCGACCACAGCGAGAGGCGCGCATCGCCGAGCAGGTCCAGTTCGCAGACGAAGAGGCGCCTCTGCACCCGCGGGGGCCAGCGACGCCTCCTCCGGAGGCCTGCGCCTCCGAGCGGCTGATGCGTCACCTGCCGAACGTCGACGCATCAGCCAGCGGTGAGAAGCCCGTGGATGACAGGATCGGCGCGATGGACACCGCCTGCCTTTAACTGCGCGTCGGGCCCCAAGGATCTGCTTACCAAGATGGGCCTGACCGACCAGATCCTCGAAGAGCCCGACGACGAGGTCTACAGGTTCGGCCACGGGCACCCCCCCGAACAAGCTGCCCGTGACAGCGCCGCCGGTGCTCGGCGGCCGGGCTGGCCGCGTCGTGTTCGGCGTCGCGAACGGCCCCGCGCTCGGTCTCCTCATCGGACGAGACTCCACCCACCCCTCCAAGATTGACATCTTTCTCTGGAAGGGGCAGGTTCGCATCGGGAATGTCACCCAGAAGCTCGACGCGAGCAGCGCGGGCATCCCACGATGTGCCTGCAGCCTGAGGGCTGTCAAGCGATCAATCAAGGAAACTGGCGCCGAGGCCCCTGCCAGACCGACTGGAAGGCCCAGGACGGAGAGCGCCCCGACCGTCAACACTACTACGAGGACCAAGTCGCTGACCGAGTCCATCAGCAAGCTCATCAGGAGCTGAACGTGCCGAGGCGCCTACAGCCTCGCCGATTCAAGGGATCCAAGCAATTGTCGGCTGTGGTGTCAGCGTTCGTGTGCTGCTCTACGGCAGCGCCAACTCCAAACCTCACTGTGGCGACGTTGCCGCCGCCGCTCCACGCCGCGACGAACGTTGCCGTGCCGCTGCAGGGCTGCATTTCCTGTGGAGAGAAGCGCCACAAGGCCTGCAACCACGAGGGCTTCTGCCCGGAGCGCGTGTTCGACCTCAAGCCAGGCCGACTGCGCCAAGGAGAACAACCTGAAGGAGGTCATCATCGTGCAGTCGATGTCCCGGCTACGCAAGGAGTTCGGCAGGCAGCTCGCCGTCTCATTCGAGTGGCCGAGGCACTGCGACGGATGGGGCCCCAACAAGAACGCGACCGCGAGTAAGCTGAAGGAGCAGCTATCGCGAGTCTTCGACTTCGACGGCTGCGCGTTCGACCTCAAGACGAAGAAAGGGATCCACATCAAGAGGCATTGGAGGATCATCACCGACCACTACGGGTTCGACGACGCGCTGAGGAGGTTCTGCGACAAGTCGCGCCCTCACGCTGAGGCGCGCGGTCAGGGCGCCAAGAACAGCGATAACTACACGCACACGCTCGCGAAGGTTTTGGCCGCCCAGCTACGACGACCAAATCGATCTCCACGAGAGTCGCACCCAACCCAGAGGGCGAGGAGGACAGTCCCAGCGCAGGAAGCTCCTCAGGAGCCAGCGCTGACAGCAGCGGAGGAGCGAACGCTCCGATCCGCAGTGATGCAGCTCCACGCGGGCAAGGGACACCCGTCCAACGACTCGCTGGCCCGGGCTATCCGAGTCACAGGCGGATCGCAGAGAGCGGTCGAGATGGCCCTCAACCTCTACTGCGAGGTCTGCGCCGCATACCAGCGACCACTACCACATCTACATGGAATAATCAAGCTGGAGCGCGACTTCAACGATTCCATCGGGATGGGCCTCTTCGCCCTCGCCGACTACGCCGGTGACCAGCTGATCTTCGTGAACGTGGTCCATCTGGCTTCGGGTTTTTTCCCTGTGCGGCACCGTTTCCTCGAGGTATCCCTCGGTTGTTTTCGCTCGACTGCTGCAAATCTGGATAGCGCTTTTTTGCGCGCCTCAACGCGCCATATTCGATGGAGGGGGGGAGTTCAAGCGAGAGTTCTCCAAGGAGCTCGAGGACATGGGCAGCCGCCCGACGACGACCCCCGCGGCCACGCCGCAGCAGAACGCCGCCGTGGAGCGAGACGGAGGCCTGTGAGAGGTCCACGCCAGGAAGCTGATGCACCAGTTCAGCATCAGGTTCGACCAGCCAGAGACAGCCCATCGTATCCAGTGGCTGCTCGCATCAGTGTGCTGGGCCATGAACAACAAGGTCAACGCTTCTGGCTACTCGCCGTCGCAGCGGGTACTAGGGCGAGGATTTCAACGACCATGCGTCTTGCTGGACAACGCCGGCAGACTTTCCTTGCGCGGGCGCATCGCGTCCGACAAGCCGTTCTCCGAAGGAGCTGTCGTGGCGGCCGCCCAGACCTCCGCCCAGCAGCCTCGGTTCAACCAATCACTCTCAAGGGCGCTGCTGGCCCGGCCCCGGGCAGATGGCGCCCGGCGCGCCACCGACGTCTACCGGGCGGGCGACCAGGTGCACTACCCAAGCGCAAGTGGGCATTGCAGTGACACGCCCACGCGCGCCTCAAGCGCCCAAGCGCGAGTGGGCATTGCAGTGACACGGACTCGGCGCCCTCATCGGCTTCGAGGGCGCCGCCAACGTCTGGGTCAATCACCGCTCCGCGACCGTGGAGGTCAACCGCGGACACCTACGCCGCGCCGCGGCTTCGGGGCTCGCGCCGCGGGGGCAATAGCTGAACGCCCTGAGCGGCCCCTCGCCGCCAGGGCCACCGCGGGGATCGCCTCCTTGGCGGGCCACCAGGAGGGCACCCGCCACCACCTCCAGGTCCTGGAGGAGGAGGCGGCGGCGGCGGCGGACCGCCGCCCGGGCCCCGGA